TAACTGTTTTCCAATGTTTGAACTATTTTTGCATAGACTAAAGTACAAAGGAGTGAAAATCATTAATAGCCGATCGTTCGATGCGTCGAATTGCACAAAACGCATGATCGCACCGGCTAGTCTGGTGCGCGTTGCTATTTCTTTTTCATTAATTCAGGTTTGCTTTAATTTACTTTTCTTTTTAGTACTGTGTTGTCTCTTTCCTTCACAGCTGATTCCAGTTCTTGCCTCGAACTGACTAGTACCTTTGCTTCTTCCATCCTGCCTCCAAATCTTGCCTTCAGAGCGGCATCTGGTCACCATCATCCCTGAACCACTGTCACCATTTCTCGCCTCGAACTCCTGACTAGCACTCTTGTTCCCTTCCTTTATCCTGTACCCAATCCCAGCCCCTTGAAATGTATCTAAGGACCCGCTAACCAGCACCCCTGCACCGCATTCAACCCCTCCATCTACCACCCCCCCACCACGTCATCCAGCCACTAAGCGCTGGGAAACGCATAAGTGTCCCGCAGTGCAGGCAGGCGACGCTACGAAATAGCACTAGCAGAGGAGCTAAAGCGCCTCTCAGTGGTGGCCGGTCGTAGCCGGGGTTTAATAGTTGCTTCGATAACACGTTTTTACGGGAATCCATGACCCATTTGCAAATGTCGCGAGTATGCTGGGCCTGTTCGTTTTGGGTCCATGCTTGATTTCTTGTAATCGTGCCTCCCTGCTGCCCCCGCGTGCATGTTCCGTTGCTCCCTCGTCAGCGCTGCTGATGCTGGCTGTCCCCTCTCCCTTGCTGCAGTAGCACTCCACGCCCGCTCTCATTCTCGTTCTTGTTCTAGTGGAGTGCATCTTGCGTCCGATTTCGCAGAATCGTTAAAGCGGAAAACGACTTGGAGCAGAAGCGCGGAGGAGCGGCGTGGAGGGCCTGCTATTCTGAAGTGCTTCTTTCTGTCTCTCTCTCTCTCTCTGTGTGTGCGCGAGGCAGCCTGTACAGTGTGGAAGAGTTGCTCGGATAATGACGCGAACTGATGATTTTTGAGCATCACTGTTTTGTAGGGTGCGCTGGGATGTGGCAACGAGCGGCGGGCATTTTGCGGCCGGCGCTTTGAGTGAACGGCCAGAGCCGGAGGATCGGAGATGGCTATGCTCTCGCTGAACTCGATTCTCTACCGTTTTGTGCTTCCGCTAGCACTGCTTCTCGGTTTGTTGTGTAGTATTTTGATAGTAGCCACTTGCCACTAGAGCGCAGTGTCGCTTATTTTGACCGGTCAGTGCTGTTGCAGGTGCGTCAGTTCGGCCCAGTATCATATCGCTGGCGTATGTGTTATGTGCTTTAGCTGGGCCTCTGTTGCCACCGGTTTCGTCACGCTCGCCCGCTTCGGTTTCGTGCGTTTCGCGGATTTATCTCGTCATCGTTTTTCTCACATCACTGGCAGCGTGCATCTGCCAGCTCTCCTATCAGATCTATGAGCGAGTGGCCCAGCCAAGTGTCGATGAATACACGAGAAGTTGTAATAGCTCTGCTTTCCACTTCTGGATGCGACAGCTGGGACTGATCAGGTGCGCAGCCATCGTTCATTTTCTGCCGCTTCTCGAATTTGCAAAGAAATATTTTTCATTTTCAGAATCAAGGGCCATGCTGGCTTCGACACCGTACGTGTAATCCTTCCCGAAATACTTGCATTTCTGAGCTCTCTTATTACATCCATCTGTTGCTTGGCCTATTCTCAAAAAGCTCGTGATGCAGATGAGTCCGGACGAGTCTCAAATGTCCAGCCAGTACGTGAAGGCTCCAGGTGGGTTCTCTAATCGTTTTTCATCCCAATAACAGTGTGTTTCGACCTCCACTTATGCGTTACATTAAACTCACCGGTCAAAATGTGCTCGCTGCCTCTTCGTTTTTGAGGG